ATAGTGATTTATGCAACGAACAAATAATATCCCCTGCGTTCTATATGAATGTGATGATCAGATTAAGCACAACCTATTTCGTAATGCATATAGAATTAGAAATGCTCAAGGGTTGCTGCTGTCATGTTGTAACAATGACCGCTGTCGAGAGGCGATCGATGATTCATGTGCATTCGTCATCCAGTCAGTGAATTCAATTGTTCAAGAGATAAATGCCTATTGTCCGACGACAGCGGATGTTGTTGCATCTCTCATTTGATTATAATATCTGAAGAAAGTAGTTCATCTGTTTGTGAAAATTCTCTGAAATCTTTCCTACATAAAGACTACGGATTTTGAAATATTCATTTATCCGCCTTGGGTGATATGGACAGTGTTCTTTAGCAACGGGCTTTTAGTATTCTCAACTCAATCATATTGAGAAAAAACATATCAATTTTGATTTTTTTGATAGAATTACGTTAAGTTGATCGAGGATTGAATAAATATCCCTTTATATTAAGTGGATAAATCCATCTAGATCTGGATAGCGATAGAACCATCTCTCAAAAAGTGAGAGCCATTTAACTTGAGGGATGGCAGGGATAAATTGTAATCGAATAAATTATTGTTGACGAGGTTGAAGGAGTATCTTTTCCAGAAATGACTGCGGATACGATTAGATTCGTTATAAGAAATGACGAATCTTCATTTTACTGGGATCAAAATTGCATCGATTGCAAAGTTAAAAATGAGAAAGTGAAGTGCAGCAAAGAAATTAATTAACTGCGAAACGGAAAAAATTTTCCGCAGTCGCATATTTTAATGGGAAGCTTCCAAAAAAAGCAACTCACCAGTTCATGCGAATGAGAGAGTCAATAGATCAGTAAAAAATTCCCTGGAACTCATCTCAATCACCTCACACAAAATATGACCACTCAAGCAATGTCTTGGGAAAATTGTTCAGTTGTATGAAAAACGAGCAATATCTCGGATTTCCTGTATTGAGCGATCGGCCGTTTGCAGAAAGACCGATCGCACTATCAGTGCAGCAGTTGANATTCAGATATGAAGATGATTGTTCCCAAATGTTCACTTCAGCATTGAATTTAATGTGCTGCTGATCGTTATCTTATCGCATGTGCTGTGTTCTTTTCCGTTACCTTTTTTCATTCTGCTTCGTAACATTGTATGACTCAGTGGATGGCATGTTATGCGATTAATTTTTCATAAGATTTCATTATCTGAAATGTTTTCAGGTGTATTGATCTGATTCATTCCATTCTACCTGTCTGTAATTTTCTACATTTCGTAGGTTTTCCTTTGCAAAATTTAAATCGAAACAAGAATGCGAGAATACAAAATTGTTGTGTTGGGAAGTGGCGGTGTTGGGAAAAGTGCATTGGTAAGTTTATTTCTCATTGAATGTTCGGACGACGAGATGTTGCTTCGACTTTTTTCTGCCATTTGATTTTTCCTCCATCGTAGCTTCCACTTGGAACAAATTTTTTTATAAGGCTGATAACGATTTAGAATTCTTGTGATGGCAAAAGTGTGGTGTCAAATAAGTCGATAAACTTTCAAATCAACATACGTGCTTGTTGTGAATCATATACTTCATTAGTTTTTCTTTAGTTTTCATTTGTGCTACAAAATTTTTCGCTTTTCAGACCGTTCAGTTCGTGCAAGGGATCTTTGTCGAGAAATATGATCCAACAATCGAGGACAGCTATCGAAAGCAAGTTGAAGTGGACGGACAGCAGTGCATGCTGGAGATTCTCGATACGGCCGGAACTGTAAGCAATTAGAAACCATTAGCTGGAATGTCTCATTCAGTCCCTATTGAGAATCGTATTTCATCTGGAACGAAAATTTCATTTGAGCGTAGTATTTCTGAAAATTTGACCGAATGTCAGGAATATCAACAAATCGAACTAGACTTTCACCTATCAGTGTCCGTGTGCTGTTTTCAGTGATTGATGATAAATTTACGAGTATAGCTGTCGTTTGATAGGAAGCAAATATTACCTTGTGAATGCTTTCGTAAAACAACTTTCGTGTGTGATTATTCATTGACCGATATCTTTATGCGATTATCTGCGTATGAAATACATCAGTTCAAGGCCCTCTATATGTTTTTGAAGTGGCTCGAAATAGAAATGAGTGATAATAATTTGCAGGAACAATTCACGGCAATGCGTGATTTGTATATGAAGAATGGCCAAGGTTTTGTACTGGTCTATTCAATAACAGCACAATCGACGTTCAACGATTTAATGGATCTTCGGGAGCAAATTCTCAGAGTGAAAGACACTGAAGATGTGAGTTTCGTTTAAGCAGTAATCCACAAATTTCATTTCCGTTTCTCCATTGGAATTGGCTACTTGATTTCATTTATTTGTATTCATTGATGAGAAATTTTCAGTGGACTTTTTCATTCATTTGTATTTGC